ATTGATTGGAATTCAGAACCATTATCTGTTCATATCCTCTTAATTCTTTTATGGAATTATGTTTTAACCATGTTATAAATGGAAATAAAAAATTCTACTGCTTCAGATTTGTTTCTCATTAGATAAACCCAAACTCCCCTACTATGGTCATCCACAATAGACAAAAAATAATGTTCTCCATTAAGAGTAGCATGTTTGTATCGACCCCAAATCAATGTGTATTAAATCAAAACACTCCATAGATTTAGAAAAACTAATGGGAAAAGGTAATCTAGTTTGTTTTGTTCGAATGCAAGAATCACAAAATTGGTTACAATTACCTACGTCTAATTGTTGTATCTTCTTTAAAATTGCTTCAGGTGTATGTCCTAATCTTTTGTGCTAAATCATTTGCTTACTTACAACTGCCATTGCCTTTTGAATGGTTCCAAATATTATAAGCCATCTCGTTCTTTACCCGTCCCAATCAGATTCCTCGAACGTAAGTCCTGTATTAGACATGAATCCGAAAAGAAGGTTAAAGAACACTTTAGGTCACGAGTTAGCCGACTTACAGATATCAAGTTACATTTAAAATTGAGAACATTTAAAACATCCTTTAGATCGAATCCATTTGGAAATTGGATATTTCCTACATGTTTAATCGGTAATGATTGACCATTAGGAATAGTCACAGAAACATTTTCTCCATTTTTAATTGTTTTTAACCAAAGTTTGTGAGGAGTGACATGTTCACCGACTCTCGATTCAATGACCCAAATTTTGAATTGTTTTTAACCAAAGTTTGTGAGGAGTGACATGTTCACCGACTCTCGATTCAATGACCCAAGAATTTTGTGTTTTGTTCTTAACAGTCATGTATGCTTTCAGAATATTCTTATCGGCCATGTTGGCTTTTGGTGTGTTTTCAAAAGGTTTGGCTGACTGTATCATTTTCAAGAGGTTGTCATATTCTTCTCTAGTGATCACCGATGAACTTGTTTCCTCCATGACAGTTGTAACATGTTCTTGGACCTTTTTCTTTACTAGTTGAGTTTTCCCAGTGGTGGACTTTGTGTTCCACCATTCAGGATAACCAACCAATTCAAAACATCCATCGATGATGTGCCCTGATTTCTAGTGAGAGCACCAACGATCATCAGATTTTGATCTCTTTCCATGATCATCTCATTTTGATTGAGATGCAAATTTTCCAGATTGTCGTGTGCCTCCTCTTCCTGTGGTTTGAAATGCAGATGACTCACTGTTGGTGCTACGAGTAGGTCCAATGATTCTTTGCTGTTCATCTTGACTAACAAGATGATATGCAGTCCTCAAAGTGGGAATCAGACTGCTACTCAGGATTGAGTTTTAGCAACATTGAACTCCTAATTGACACCTATGAGAAAGTCATACAATCGTTCCTTTTCTCTTAAATTAATCATCTCTTTGTTGATATTGCATGTACATCCTTGGCAGGTGGGGATTTGACTGATGGACTAAATTTCGTCCCAAATACTTCTAAGTTCCGTGTAATAGTCGGAAACAGTCATACCTTCTTATCTCAACATGTCACTCCACAAAAGTTTCAAGTTGCTACGGAGGAAATGAAGAAAATAGACATCGATGACCATCGATCTTAGAGGTACGGATTCGAGATGTGAGGCTACAATAGCAACAAATGTCATTTTCCTCTATGCATGACTTGGAGAAGCTTGAAATCGTCAATATTTACTTTCATGATACGGCAAAAATCCCATGTCTCCAGCAACATAGTTAAGGGGCAATATTTTCAGGTCTAAATATGTCACATATGATATTAAATCAACAAAAACCTATGCTAATAGGTCATATAAGTTTTTTTATCAACCCAAACAAGTTTAATAGTCATATATGTACAAACAAAACATAAATGATTAAATGTAGAGCTGACAATGGGTCGACCTGGATTGGGTTCAGGTTCATCCCATTTAATAATTGAGTTGAAAATTTCAACCAAACCCAACCTGTTTATTTAAATGGGTTGATATTTCCAACCCAAACCAACCTTTTAGATAAATGGGTTGTCACCAGGTTGACCTGCTTATGTAGTTTCCGACCCAAGCTGTTAAATAAATGGGTTAAACTTGGGTTAACCCATTTAAAATCAAATAAATAAATAAATTAACTAAATAATATATCATTTAATTTAGTTTCATACATTAATAAAATTTCATAAGTATGACAAAAACACAATCTCAATTCATAAATACAAATAAATTGTTCAAATAACATTAAATATGTTTAATTTCAAAATGATTTTGGAGAGTGGCTAATATTATCGGTGTTAAAAAAGATTGGAAGTTAGGACTGAATTTTTTTAAAACATAAATAATAATACAACATTATAATTTATAAATGAATACTTTGATTAATACATGATAATATTCAAATAATTATTAAATTAAATATATAATAAACCCTTTACCAATTGAGCTGAATGCTCTTTTTGTTATATCTTTCTAAAACTATTTTATATAATAAAGAAAACGTTAATACATAAAAAACAAATAAATTACAAAAATATTTTTTTACATAATTTTTTTAAAATAAAACAAAATGTATTTTAGTCGTATTATAAAAAAAATAGTTTTTTACAAACAATTTATATGTATTTATTTTACGTAAAATATATTTTTTTATGTCTTTAAAAAATACGTTTTCGTATAAAAAATATGTTTTCATAAAATATATTTTTTCATGTCTTTGAAATAATAACAATTAACACGACTCGTGACATAAAAAAATGTATAAATTCTTTTGGGTCGCTAGCTCTAAAACCGTTTTTTGGTTATATGTATTAAAAACAACTTAACAACGATTTTGTTATGTATCTAAACAATTTATACGGTTTTTTTTATGTCAATAGTAGTATTAATTATCGTTATTTCAAAAAGATATATCATTATTTATTTTCATCTTCATTTTAACAATACAATTTAGAACTTGCGATTAGTATGATATACGTATTTTAAATAAGATATATAATCGAATAGGTTTTTTATGTTTTTTTAAATACATATAACCGAATCAGAAAACCGATTCGACCAATTCGGTTATATATCCTATTTAAAATACGCATTTCATGTTAATCGCAAGTTCTAAATCATATTGTTAAAATGAAGATGAAAAGAAATAATGATATATCTTTTTTGAAATAACAATAATTAATACTACTATTGACATAAAAAAAACCGTTTAATTGTTTAGATACATAACAAAATCGTTGTTAAGTTGTTTTTAATACATATAATCGAAAAAACGGTTTTAGAACTAGCCACCCAAAAGAATTTATACATTTTTTTATGTCACGAGTAGTGTTAATTGTTATTATTTCAAAGACATGAAAAAATATATTTTACGAAAACATATTTTTTATATGAAAACGTATTTTTTAAAGACAAAAAAATATATTTTACGTAAAATAAATACATATAAATTGTTTGTAAAAAACTATTGTTTTATTTAAGAAAAATTATGTAAAAAAATTGTTTTTTGTAATTTATTTGCTCTTTATGTATTAACGTTTTCGTTATTATATACTCCCTCCGTCCCAAATTAATTGTTCACTTTTGACTTTTGAAGTCTTTTTTCTTCAACTTTGACCTTAAATATTTTTATTTGTGTTATATATTAATTGATGAAACTTATAACAATAAAAAGACATTTAAATTACAATCCATTCATATATTTTGCATCAAGTATTATCGTTCAAAAAGAAAATTATTTAAGGTCAAAGTTGAAGACTAAAGACTTAAAAAGTCAAATGTGGACAATTAATTTGGGACGGAGGTAGTAAAATAGTTTTAGAAAGATATAAGAAAAAGAGCATTCAACTCAATTGGTAAAGGGTCTAGTAATATAAGGGGGTGGAGGTCTCGAGTTTGAGCCTTCCCCCCTTCTTTCAGCCAATTATTTCACTTTTTCAAACAAACTTCAAAAATGGTCTATGTGGTTTATCAAATGTCACGAATTCAGTTCCTTAATATTTGAAAAGACGAAAATACCCTTACAGAAATGGTCCCTAACGGCTGAATACTAACGTTGTTAGTAAAAAGGGTCATCTTTGCAAGTTTTGCAAACCACAATGACCATTTGTATCAAAAAAAATTAGCAGGGACTGACTTTGTGACTTTTGGCAAACCATAGGTACCATTTTTGTAATTTTGTCTATAATATTTTAAGGATTTTCTAATATGTGCCTAAAGACAGTATAAGAAACATTAATTAATGACAAATATTACTATAATTAAATGTAAAATACATTAATTATAAGAAATATTACCATAATTAAATGTGAAGTACATTAATAATCTTAATAATAAATGTATTTCGAATTTAGTTATGGTAATATTTTTCATAATCAATATTTATTATATGGGCCTTTTAGACACATGTTAGAAAATCTCGATATTTTAATAATAAAAGAATTGATCATACAATATTATAATTGGATTAAATTTTCTATTATCCACTAACAAGAAGAAAATTAAACCTATAATGTTTAAAACAAAGAAAAAGAAGCATCTTGAATTTATAGCGTATTGATTTTATAGGGTAATGAATTATGAGTCATTTTTTGTATTTGATTTACCATTGAACTCACCTAATCTGATCGCAAACTATCATTTTGACCGGCAATAGTCGGTCTATCTGTTTCCGATGACCCAACGATTTGGACATCTTCGACGAGTCTCCGGTTATCTTCTCGAGCCAACCAAAAAATATAAAGACTAATTTGTAAAGGGTTGCAAACATAAGTGGAAAACTTCACTTTTTCATTTTTACCTTTCGATCAAATCATTTTTTTATTCACTTAAAATAAAACACCATATATAACTGATTAGACTAAATATACTAAGTCACCAGAAGAGAATATTTTACATCTTATAAAGCTTAGTACACATGCTACAATACTGATCATTCCTATACAGATTCCTTTCTTTTTGTATCTTCTATAACTGTATATCTGGTTTTCTAACCTAAGAATGAGCAGTTTTACTTGAATTCTTTTCAAAACACTTGAACATATGCTCTAATTCCAAAATCCCCTCTTCAATATCGACAATTTCTTCACTATCATTGTTTAAATGTTGTCTATAGTTTCGAATTTTGTATAGACTTGCACTAACTTTTGTTCCCATTTCCTCTATTGTAGCCTGCATCGCCATATTCTCCTCGTGCACTTCGCTCACCTCCCTCTTCATTAATCGATACCCATCAAGCGATTCCAAAAGTTGTTTTTTCTCATCATGTTTATGCATTTCCGCACATTGTGAAACTTTTGTCAATAATGTCTCATTTTGCGCTTTTAAATAATTTATATGTTCTTCCATTTCTGATAACTCATGTGCTTTTTTCGCTAACTCCCCCATCATAATCTCCTTTTCTTTCCCCAAACCTGAACACATAATCTCTAAACTTTTACGTGCGGCTAAACTCGCACCATGCTCTCTCTTTAGCTTCTCTTGTTCGTCAACGGTCAACGGGTCTGTTGACCGTTGTTTTTCCTTCGGGCTTTGAGCTGGGCTCAACCCAAACGGTCCGAGCCCATCGGACCGTTTGGTTCCGAAGGACTGACAATTTTGGATTCGGGTTCGGACCATGTCGAGGATGGTCATCATTCCGGCCACCCTCAACATCCGTCTGCCATCGTTTCTTTGAGTTTTGCAGGCCTCCTTGTGATCTTGAATCAATTTTAAAAGTAATTTGACATTTGCTGCGACGCCTTCTAACGCGGCATCATCGTAGGAATGTTGTTGTTGTGGTGTTGATGTTGCGAGCAATTGTGGAGGTCTTTTGTCTTTAAATTTACTCATATCATAAAGACACATTTACCATACGGTGATGATATGAGAACGGGTAATAAGAGGAATGGAAGAGAGGGGTGAATTTGGAAAGATTTTTTTCCCCCTCTTTCTTTTTTTTCTTATTTCTCAAAGACCAGCCACCTTGGTTAGCCTTTGTTTCAAAATTGTGTTTCATGTGGTGGGAGGTCTCATTGGATAATGGTCGTTGGTTTTTCCGATTTTATTGCTCTATTGTTTTGACATTTTCTTGCAAATTCCTACAAAATACTTTTATTAATAGTAGCTGTAGAGGGGGGTATATTGATGAGTTACAAAATGAGAGGGGCCAAACAGAATTTGTTTAGAAGTATCAAAGAAAGAAAATCAGATAGAGATTCAATTTGAGTTCCCATCGTTTCCTAAGGAAACGGGATTCTTAATATTTTAATCCTCATCAAATTCCATCGATACTTCAAGCCAACCCACGCTATATATATAATGAATAAATAGAAGCGCATATAGAAGCGCATATCGATCATATACACACCAAAAAAAGGAACAGTCGTTAAAGAGTAGAGCTCGGCTGTAGTAAAAAGTGGCGGAAAGATTCCGGCTGAAATCTAAGGTAACATTCAAAATTATTATTTAAGTTCTTACGTAGATGGAATAATTCTTTTAGTTAGATTTAACAAATCAAAATTATTGTATATGTGCTTATTTAGCCTACGTTTGCTATTTGTTTCAATTGTTAGATACTCTACAAAATGTAATTATGTATTAGTACTTTTATTATTTCATTGTATCATTGAAGGTTTATAGAGATTTTGGACATTATTATATTTTTCTAAAGTTTTAAGAATGTTCTTATAATCTAAATTATATTGGCTTAGTGGTATGATGTTATGTCATTTGCGACATAAGTGATATTAATTAAGAGTAGAATATGAGTAAATTAGATTTTCCATTTAAAAAAAATAAGGAAACATATATTTTTGCATTTGTTATCTTCTCTTCTATTTCCACTATTGTATGTTTTATTATGATCTAATTTGTAATCTTGGGAGTTTAATAAGATTATCAAGGTTTAAACCTTGTTCCTCATGTATTCGTTACACAAATGACACCATGATCTCTAGAATCAAGATGATTTATGTTTGTTGCATCGTATTTCTTATAATGTGCTACAATTAAATTTGTAAACATGTATGTATGTTAACCATGGTCTATGAAGTCTCTTTTTATATTTGTTTCCTAATTATCAACGAGCTCGTCTCTTATCTTTAGAGGAATGTATACTTTCAAGAACCTTTGCAACAAAATGAAAAGGTGCTTCTCGTGTGTCACTCACACACAACCTCAAATGTCAGGTATTAATTCGACGATAACTTTAGTCTTTACATACATATTTTTCAGTTATACAATTGCAACACGTCATTTAACTGGGAAAGATAAAAAATAAATATAGAAGTAAAACTCATCAGATTTCATGGTGGTAGTGTCGTCATCGGAAATGGAAGATCCTCCAATTTGGATGGAAATGCCCGACGAAGTGATGGCAAATATACTTCAACGATTGGGTACTAAAGAGATACTCAACAATGCATGGAGAGTGTGCACAACTTGGCGGAGAATTTGCAAAGATCCGGCGATGTGGAAAGTCATTGATGTTCAGAAATCCGATAATGATGTGGAAGAACATCTCGATCTCGATAGGCTGACTAAGAAGCTAGGCAATCGATCTCAGCTGTGGGGAATTGATCGATATCAGTATCTCAGGGTTTGGCACCGATGATCTCCTTGATTACATATTTCTACGGTAGATTTCTTCCCTTTTCCCATCGATATTCAATTTCATACTCATTCTACACTCATACGCACCACCAATTATCTCTTTCTTTACTGATTTTTTGTTGCTTGCTTTTCTGTGGCTCCAATGGTGACTTGGGAACAGATCAAGTAAGTTGAAACGCGTTTCTCTTATGTACTTACGTGGCAAGGCCTATTGGTTGACTCGGGCACCCAAAAGGTTTCCACAGTTGGAGGAACTTCACATTTCTTTGGGCTTCATCAACGTAAAAGACATTGAAGTTATTGGACGGAATTGCCCTCAACTTAAGTCTTTCACAGTGAACAAAGTATTCCAATGGTCACACAATGACGAGCATGCCCTTGCGGTTGCAAATTACATGCCCGAGTTACGCCATTTGGATCTTTGTGGTAGTAATATGACAAACGATGGACTCGAGGCCATTCTTATCGGCTGCCCTCACCTTGAATCTCTAGACGTTCGTATGTGTTCTAATCTTAATCTCGAGGGGAATTTGGGAAAATTGTGTACAGAACGGATCAAAGATTTTATGCGCCCAAATGACTCATCGGACAACTGCGGATATCATCTCCTAAGTTATGAATTTTATCATGAATTACATGTGTACATGTGTTTTGCAGGAGTGGAAGTCTGGTGTCCGATCAACTTTTAGATGGTGGCAGAAGATAAGATAACGATCGAAGATACATTTGTAATCATTTTGGTGTGTTTGGTTGTGGAAAAATCCTTTATTTTTAGAAAAATTTCTAAAAGAATTTTTTTCGGTATTATCAACCAAAGAGGTATCAAGTAGGGATGAAAGTGGGTCCAAACCCGGACCGGATGGACCCGGACCCGGAAAACCCGGAACCGGTTAACGAGATTTTGTAGAACCGGAAATCGGACCGGTATATAGGAACCGGTTCCGGGTACGGTACCGGGTAAAGTGGGTCTAGAACCGGAAAACCCGGAAACATCAAAGTGGGTAGATTGGAACCGGATAAAGTGGGTTTAGAACCGGAAAACCCGGAAAAACCGAATTTTTTTGGTAATTATTTACTACTTAGTGGGTTGAACTTTGAAAATTTTCATATTGATATCCCGACTTTGGGGGACTGTAACTCATTGAATATGAAACCAAATTTGACAAAATTATAGTCTAAAATCAAGTACAAACTCTAAACTACACTCTGGAAAAAACCTCATTTCAATCCGACTTTAAACGAATGAGATATGCATGTGTTAACAAATAGCTGAAAAGTTGAAAATTTTAGCTGAAAAGTTGAAAATTTTAAGTTTTGATATCCCGACTTCGGGGGCCAGTAAATCATTGAATATTAAACCAAAAATGACAAAATTTTAGTCTAATCTCATTTACAAGCTGGAAAAAACCACATGTCAATCCGACTTCAAACGAATTAGATATGCATGTTTTAAAACTTTCACAAAATACGGAAAAACTAAAAACTTTCAGCTTTGATATCTCGACTTTGGGGGACTGTAAGTCAATGAATATAAAACTAAAAATGGCAAATTTATAGTCTAAAATCATGTACAAACTCTAAACAACATGTTGGAAAAAACCGCATGTCAATCGGAGTTGAAACGAAGGAGATATGTATCTTTTAAACGTTTCACAAAAACCGGTTCCGGCCCTAAAAGTGGTTCCGGTTCCTAACACCGGTTCCGGTTTTTAGACCCGGTTTACCCGGACCCGATGGATCCAAACCCGGATTACCCGGAACCCGGATAAAGCCAATTTTTAAACCCGGAACCGGAACCGGTTCTATATATTCCGGTTCTAACGGTTCCGGTTCCGGTCCGATTCCGGTTCCGATTCGGGTTTCCGGTTCTAAATCTCATCCCTAGTATCAAGTGTTATGATCTCTCTTTGATGTTGAATGTTCAAATTTCGTCTGATACATAGGTAGATTCAAATATATATTAGATTGTCATTAATAAAAATATTATTTCTTAAAATTTTCATAAAAAAATATTTTTATAGATTTTTTAAATTGAAAGTTACTTTTGAAAAACCGGTATTGTTTCTACAGATTTTCATTTCTATTTTTTAAATATAAATACACCCATCCCTCCTCTCACATCCCCACACACACCATGATCCACACACCGGCTCGTCAACCCACCCCACTGCACACACATATACATACACCCATAGACATACACATACACATATAGGCAAATGTACAAATACACACAAGTACATGTACATATACTATTTATATACACACACAAATTGGAAAATAAAACCAGTAGAAAGTACATAATATTTATTCGAACACATTTTCTAATTTTTAAAATGGAAAATGGCATGTCCAATAAGTTATGAGTAAATTTTTGTATGCTTAGATAAGCAAATTTGTATCAAAAATCAATTTGTTGTATAATTTGGTAAAAAAGATACAAGACATTGGTACATACATGTGTATTTACCCAAGATAATATAGTGACCAACAAAGCATTGAATACTATAATTTGCTTTTGTAAAGAAAACAAGGGCCTCTTTTAGTTATATATTACTAAAAATGTAAATAAGTAAAGTTGAAAAATAAAAAAGATATTATAATGGGCAAAATAGTTATTTTACATTAAATAGGGACCAAAAATGCAAAATTTAAAAACCACAAAGATGCGAACTATCAGTTATTCGAAAGTTGGATTGAAATTGTGAATTTTACCAAACCAAAGGGACCATTTCTGCAACTTACTATATAATCTAAAAGCAGTTGTGGCGTGAAAACTTCGATGAAAAAGACTCCCGCCTCCTGTAAACCTTTGATTTTCAGACCCTCCACGCTCCCTTTCAAAACAAAAATCCATTCATTCATCTTCAATTTCAACTAGCCGTCTTTTTCCCCCGATATTTATGTAGCATATCGTAATCGTGGGAATAATTTCAAGAAAGAAGTTTAACCTTTCTTATATCCGATTATTTTCACTCCTTGCATCCAGAATCCTGCATCGTCAATTCAACAGTTGTCTTAAAATCTACGATCCTGCAACTTGTTCATAACGGGGTAGTACACTTCATCCATCATATGTGGTTTTCTTTTGAGTTCTTATGTTTCGCTACACAAATGACACCATCAACTCAAGATATTGAGTTCTTATGATTTCTTAATTTTCCATGGTGTTTTTTTCTTAATGAGTAACGAACTAACAATCTCAACTTTTACTGTTCTACACGTTATCTGTAGAATACTATGGTTTTTTGCAATTCACCATTTTTCTGATAGAAAATATGTTTTTTTTTTCAAACAGAAAATTCGTGGGATTTCAATCTACCTCCGTCGTTGACAATGTTGAGACCTCCGGATTGGCTTAAATTGCCTGAAGAACTGATAGCAAATATACTTCAACGATTGAGTTCTATAGAGATACTCAACAGCGCATCAAAAGTATGCACAACTTGGGAGAAAATCAGCAAAGATCCGGCGATGTGGAAGGTCATCGAAATACCACAACCGGTTTATCATTGGGATATGGATTACGATATTGAGATATTGGTTATGAAGGCAGTCGATCTCAGCTGTGGGGAATTGATCGATTTCAGTATCGAGGGTGGTATTGAAATCATCCATCTCCTTGAGTACGTTGTAAAAGGGAACTTTATTTATGTTTGAAACGTTATAAAAGGCTTAAGAAAAACGATAAGTTGTAAAGTATTAGTTGAAACTTGTTAAAAAAGTTGTAGAAAAGTAATAAAAAGTTTTAAAAAAGTTATATATTGACACAGTCGTGTAAAATCCATGTGTTTTACAGTTGAAGTGAAAAAAAGTCTTCTCTAGAAATTGACTTCTCTATTCTTTAAAATGTAATTTTTATTTTCAAAATAAGGTATGTTTTTCCTTTTTGTAGAATGAGTTTATGTTTTTTAACCTGCGAACCCGATTATCAGACCTACGAATGATTCAATAGAAAAAAACGGTTTTTATCTACTAGGTTATGAATTATATCATGAATTACTTGTGAATTTATTCCAAAAGTTTGGCGTTTGATGAAATTATAGAAGTTGACATTTTGGGAAAGGATGATAATGGGCGTGTTCGGCACGCATCGTTTGGGAGCTTCTGCCTTCTAGTTTCTAAGAAAACGCTAGTAAAAAAGAAGAAGTCTCGTTCGTCAACTGGAGCGTTTAACTTTTAGCCTAAACAAAACGCTCTAAAATCAAAAGCTACATTGTAACATCCCAATTTTCAAGACCAAAAATTTCGTTTTTGACTAAGTAATTTAATAAAAACCATTTCTGAAAAAACAACATCAATATCATATCAAACTAATCACCCGTAAGTCAAATGTCATAAAAACATATCCTTGAGTAATAATAATGTCAGAGTACAATCCCAAGGTCATCATAGTGCGAAAATCATGTGTGTGCGATGCGCTGCTACCGTGCCGGCTCCTTCCCCTTCACTGAAGAGGTACCTGAAAACAAAGCTGAAAACTGTAAGCACACAGCTTAGTGAGTTCCCCCATCATACCACATACTATGCAATAATCAATAAACATACTGTCAGGCATATCTGGGTGCCCGACCTACCCTGCTAGGCATACCGGGGTGCCTAACCTACCATTGTCAGACATACCTGGGTGTCCGACCTACCCCTCCTGTTTATCTCGACCGGTTACGGGGACTATTTCACCCCTACTACTACCACACAATAACATAACATAATCATACTGTCCAGCATAGCCGGGTACCATACTACCCCTTCGGCCCTATCGACCGGTAATCGGGGACTATCCCCCTTACTACCGCTATCACATAACATCATATTATACTAGCATGCAAAACACATCAGATAGTGGCAAACCCAAGTAATTATCATAAAGACAACTACTCGACAAACAATCCCTACTAGTGGGCCGACATTGTGGCCGTAGACCCACCTCTACTGGAAGGTAACTCACCTCGATGTCGTGTCGTATCTGCACAGTCCTCGGCATGAGAATCAACTCGACTCCACTCCTCAATCCCTACACAATGACCTCTTCCGATTACTAATGCATACTCATAATCCTTACAAGGGTCAACCCAAATCTAGGTCAAAGTCAAAGTCAAGGTCAACTTTGGTCAAAGTCAACATCCAGTTGACTTGACTCGCCGAGTTGGTCCACCAACTCGTTGAGTCCCTATCAAGACGATACTACCCCCGACTCTACTCGTCGAGTCTAGCAAGAACTCGACGGGTTCACCTTCAACCATTGCACCGGGACCATCTTCAACCGACTCGTCGAGTTCACCCTTGAACCCGTCGAGTTAATCTTCATCATATGAATGTGTCCAGTCTATGACTCGCCGAGTTCTATGAACAACTCATCGAGTACGTCTTCATAAGTTGAGAGATTGTCTTGGACTCGCCGAGTCTGTTCATACACTCGCCGAGTCCTATGATTTCTAGGTCCAAAACAAACCCTTAGCAGGCTAAGTGTTCCTCCCACTCAACCAAAACCATTTCCAGAAGACATTTTGGGGGAAAAAGCGTCCCGACTTGCCGAGTCACCCAAGTGACTCGCCGAGTCCCTCTTTGTCCAAAACTATACAGTCGATTATAACGGGTCTTAACACGTCAAGACCATAGATCTGGCCTCCTAGGGTCCATTTTATATGTAAAGCTTCAAACTTGATGTACATGTATGGGGCCTTTGGCTCAAAAAGCCATAGAAAGGGGTTTATATGATGCATGGGTCTCCCATGGCCATAAAGTTGGCACATTTATGTCATAGGAACCCTCAATGGTTCTAGATCTGAAGTCCTTATCCCAAAATCGTGGTTGCATCCAAGAATGGCTCCAATATGGCTTCCAAAAACCCTAAGTTACTTCAAAAAAGAGTATACATTGAAAGAAGAAGCAAGGTCTGGACTTTTTACCTCCAATAAACAGGAAATAAAGCAAAACCTCTAGATCTCCTTGCTCCTTCTGAAATCCCAAGCTCCTTCTTCTTCTCTTCAACCTTCTAACTTGCACAAAATGGAACAAGGAGCTCAAAATCACTCAAAAAGGGGTTAGGGTTTCGAGTTAGGGTTTTCTGGAAGTGAGAGGGACGATGGAGGCTGGTTTGGGACGAGTTAAGTTGTTTAAATAGGGTGCAAACCCTAGATATTAGGGTTTTGTCCAAACAGCTCTTACTCGTCGAGTCGGTCTTCCGACTCGTCGAGTAGGTCACTTAAACCCCCGATCAAAAGTCGAGTCTACTGGACGAGTTAGGCCTCCAACTCGCTGAGTCCTAAAGTAATTTGCAACATTTATTGAATTTAAATACGTACCAGGAATCGGGTGCTACAAATCTCCCCCACTTATTTTAGACTTCGTCCTCGAAGTCTGCTGCTGAATCTGAAAAAAAGCTCGGGTTAGTGCTCCCTTATCTCTTTCTCCAGCTCCCAAGTCCATTCCGACCCCTTGCGGTGCTGCCATTGCACCTTCACCAGCTCCACCCTCTTGTTCCTCAGATCCTTCGACTTCCTGTCGAGGATCGCCACTGGCCGCTCGATGTAGTTCAGGCTGTCATCCACTTGAATATCCTCCAAGGGCACCACTGCCGAGTCGTCCACCAGGAACTTCCGTAGCTGGGAGACGTGAAACGTGCTATGAATCTGACTGAGTTCGGCTGACAGGTCTAGCCTATACGCCACCTTGCCCACCCGGGCGATAACCCTGAAAGATCCAATATACTTGGGCACCAACTTGCCCCGCTTCCTGAATCGAATGACGCCTTTCCAAGGCGACACCTTCAGGAGAACCATATCCCCGACCTGGAACTCCAAGTTCGAACGGCGCTTGTCGGCATAACTTTTCTGATGACTCTGAGCAGTCTGAAGCCAACTCCTAACCTGTTGAATCCTCTATGTCGTCTTGAGCACCACTTCGGTGCTCCCCATGACCCTCTATCTGACTTCACCCCAACATATCGGGGTCCTGCACTTCCTCCCATACAACATCTCAAAGGGAGGACGGTCAATACTCGCATGATAGCTGTTATTATAGGAAAACTCAGCCAAAGGAAGGTAAGTATCCCAACTACCTCCGAAGTCTAAAACACACGCCCACAGCATATCCTCCAGAGTCTGGATTGGTCTGCTCACTCTGACCATCCGTCTGCAGGTGGAAAGCAGTGCTGAAGTGCAGACGAGTACCCAAATCGTCGTGAAACTTCTTCCAGAATTTGGAAATAAACCGCACGTCTCGGTCCGAAATCACCGAAACTGGCACTCCGTGTTGAGCTACTACCTCTCAGATGTAGATATCGGCCAACTTCTCGGCCAAGATGCTCTCCTAGATCGGTATGAAGTGGCACTCTAGGTCAACCGATCCACGATGACCCAAATCGAATCCACTCCCCTTGCAGTCCTGGGAAGCTTGGTGATGAAATCCATAGTAATATCTTCCCATTTCCACATGGGAATGTCTAGCGGCTGCATCTTGCCGTGTGGCCTCAGGTGCTCGGCCTTGACCTTCCTGTAGGTCAAGCACCGCTCTACGTACCAGGTGACGTCCCGCTTCATGCAGGGCCACCAGTAATCGGGGCGAAGATCTCTGTACATCTTCGTCGCCCTAGGATGAATCAAGAATCGGGATTTGTGCGCCTCCTCCATCAGAACCTGGCGCACACCCCCGTGGTATGGAACCCACACCCTGCAATGTAGTGTCAATAACCCTCGACTGTCGTAATCGAAGGAGGAAACCTGACCCACAATACGCTCGCTCTTCCGATGTTCCTCCTTCATGGCCTCCAGCTGGGCCTCTTGGATATGCTCCAAAAGTGAAGTCACTACGGTAATCCGCAAGCAAATATCTCTGATTGGCGCTGCCTTGCGGCTAAGCGCATCAGCCACAACATTGGCCTTCCCTGGGTGGTACAGGATCTCACAATCATAATCCTTCACCACGTCTAACCACCGACGCTGCCTCATGTTCAGATTCGGCTGATCCATGAGGTACCTCAGACTCTTGTGATCCGTGTAGATGGTACAATGGACCCCATAGAGGTAGTGTCGCCAGTTCTTGAGGGCGAAGACGACCGCCCCTAACTCCAAATCATGCGTCGGGTAGTTCGCCTCGTGAGGCTTCAGCTGCCTCGAGGCGTAGGCGATGACATGTCTTTTCTGCATCAAAACTGCGCCCAAACTCGAAATGGATGCATCACAATATAACACAAAAATCCTCCATGCCCTCGGGCAGGGCGAGGATCGGCGTCGCGCATAGTCTCTGCCTCAGTGTCTCGAATGCCGCCTGCTGCTCAGGCCCCCAGCGAAAAACAACGACTTTCTTCGTCAGTCGGGTCAAAGGTACGACTATCTTGGAGAAGTCCTAAATGAATATCCGGTAATAGCCTGCCAATCCGAGGAAACTCTGAATCTCAGATGGAGACTTCGGAACTTCCCATCTCATCACAGCCTCTATTTTGGCCGGGTCGACCAATATCCCATTCTGATTGACCAGGTGCCCCAGAAATTGCACCTCGCACAACCAGAACTCGCACTAGGAGAACTTGTCATACAAGCTCTCCCTCCTCAGGGTATCTAACACCCCGCGCAAGTGCTCCTCATTTTGCTCCTGCGTCTTGGAATAAACCAAGATGTCGTCAATGAAAACTATCACAGACCGATCCAGCATCAGCCTGC